AGATTTAGTGGTATCAGAGCTTAGGTTAAATTAGATATCTGGAGATTTAGTGGTATCAGAGCTTAGGTTTGATTAAGATTTAGTGGTATCAGAGCTTGGTTTAAATTAAGAGCTTAGATTAAATTAAGATTTTGTGATATCAGATTTAGTGGTATTAGAGCTTGGGTTTGATTAAGATTTAGTGGTATCAGAGCTTAGGTTAAATTAAGATCTTGTGATGTCAGATTTTGTGGTATCAGAGCTTAGGTTAAATTAGATATCTGGAGATTGAGTGGTATAAGAGTTTAAGTATAAATTAAGAGCTTAGGTTGAAATTAAGAGTTTTGGATTAAATTAAGTACCTCCAGATTTAGTGGCATCAGAGCAGATTGAGTGATATCCGAGCCTAGGTTTAATTGAATACCTAGGATTTGTTTTGGACTTGGCTAGCCAGTGGATTGTAGAATCGTGGTGAGACGAGTGATGGGGTTATATAAGGGGCAATTCTGATTCATGTTGCCTGAATTTTCTCATCCATTTCGATGAGATGGATATTTGATTGTTCTTGTTTCCTGCCTTTATATACCCTATGTAGATCCATGAGATTAATCTTGTCCGCCATGTTCTTGAGACCTTGTTTTGAACTTGGTCATTTTCTGATTGTCCGCACTTGTTTAGACTTGTTACGTGAATAGAATTTTTGTGTGCTCTTTTGCCACAATTGTGAAATCTGGGGAGTTGTAGAGATCTTTTGTTATTGATCTTGTTGGTCTCTACCACATAGCTGGTTGAGAAATTTGTTCTGTTTGTCATATGACCCGTGGAAGATGGGTAACCCTCTACATTGTAAGAGATTCCGGGCTATTTTAGCAAATGTTGTGTGTTTTCTAGCTGTGTTTTAGGAGCTGGATAACTTGATAATTTCGCTGCTCCTTATTTTCTGTAAGTCTTATAGTGAAGTTTCATTTTCCATTTGGAGCTTCGTGGTCTTTTCATGTGGCTCATTTTTCTGTATTGGTTAATCAAGAGTAGTGATGATTCAATTGAAATTGTTGTCTTTTTGTGAAGATTGGCAAGCTGTCATAAAGTTAAACTCTATTGTTGCCAATCTCTACATTCTTGATATCTGGAAATTGCTTGAAACTCTTGAAATCCATCTTGAATCTTTCTTGAGATTGCTTTATACTTGTTCTTGAAACTGAAATCCAGAAATGGATAATGATTATTGAGATCCTCATTATCGTGATACTTATCTGAAATTGATTCTTGTATTGTTCTTGGAATCTATTTTGAGTTGTCCTTGGAAACGTTCTTGTTCTGACACTGGTTCTTGCTCAAATTCTGTATACTGCTCTTGCTCAATTCCGCATATTCTGTTAGTTCTTATGTCAGTACACCTGTTGATCTTCTTGATTTTGATTTTTGTTCATGGACACCTCTTAGGAGGGGTGACGATTATCAGAAGATACCTATATGAGGCATCCTCATTCTTGTCTCTTGCAAGTGTTAAATTCTGTATTCTTTTAGCTTTGACTTGGCTTTAGGATGTCTAGGATGACTTGATTGTAAATCTGCTTAGCCTCCATGAGCTACGAGGTGAAGGGGTAATCTTTGAAATACTTGATG